ATTGCCAGCACATAGGGGAATAGCTCTAGAAAGTTAATACTTTTTCCAGAGAAAATCTGGGGGCCAACTGCCAAAAAACCATTTGGACCCAAATACAGCTGCATAACCTGCAGAAAGAGCAGCATCAGAGTAAAGTTTTATGCAGTCGGAATTAACCCAATTATCAAATAAAAACATACTTTTTCCATTAAAGTGAGCCATAAATTCAGCCCACATTTGCAGATCTAAACGTGCAGCATTGGAAAGGCGAATACTGTAATGGGGTTTGTCAACATTTATTGTCAAATCATATAACCGTCGGAGAAAAGTACGGCCAGGAACCACAACCAACGTGGCAAAATTTAACAAACCTAACAGTGATTGTAATTCCCGTAAAGTGACCTTCCGACGATTCTTAAAAAACAATAACTTATCATTAATTTTCCTTAATTTTTCAGGTGGTAACCGACAAGTCATCTCAGACGAGTCAAGTTCAATACCAAATATAGTTAAACAAGTAGTTGGGAACACTGTCTTGGAGTGTTTAATAGGAATATTTAAATAATTAGCTAAACTAAAAGGATTGTAAGGAGTCCGAACACTGAGAAGACTGTTCAGGGCCAACAAAGAAAAAATCATCTATCATATGGCTCATGATTGCATTTTTCTTTGACACTATAAACCACTGTATAGCAGAGCTAAAGCGCTCAAAGGTCTGACAGCTCATGCTGAGACCCATGGGCAAACACATATCTGCGAAATAGTAATTCTTATCATTTATTGGTACGGTAAATCCTAAAAGACCATAATCGTCAGGGTGTATAATCAAAAGGACCCATAATTCTATTTTCTAACAATTCTGCGTTAACTTTTGAAAGTAAAATATTTAAATTATCACAACACGACGAATAATTTCGAATGTTCGCTCTCCAGAATACGGAATTTTAAAACCCTCAGTGAAACCAGAATAAAGATATTGACGTTGTATTGGATCATAACCACTTCGGCACTTCTGCTTGAGGATGGACTTGCTTTACGAAAAATATAGCGTGAAGATTGCGCATTAGGTGTCTTTGCTCCAGCATTAGAACCAGATGCAACTGGCTGGTTTGCTGGAGGAGCAACAATTGAATCCGAAAGATTAGACACGGCAGGAGGGTACATGGCTGACGTTAGAGTCTGATTATTATAGTCCACTGAAGGTGGAGTCCTATCAGATTGATTTTGAGTATTCTTACGTACTTTAGCATAACAGTTAATAGCTGGATGAGTGTATCCACAACGTGAACAAACATGAGCAAAACGACACGAAGTGCGCTTGCATCCAGACTGGGAATTAAAACCCCAGCAAGTATTACCATTACTTTTAGAAGTTTTGGTATTCTTGGTAGTTTTAGATTGATTAACTGAAGATGTACCATACAAAGTGGTAGCCCTTAGCCAGTAATCTGCATAGATTTGATTCCAAGGATGAGGACAAGATTGCCTATTCATCCTAAACTGTGTATCGTAAAACTGCATGGCTTTTATTCCATAGAGCCGGGCCAACTCTGTAACCAAATTTTGGTAGACCAATAAGCTTGAGGTCAATTGAGGTGATTTTTGAATCAAAACGTCCATAAATATGGAAAAAGCATGTTGCCATTGTTCTAAATTAAGTATTCTGGCCTTTTGAGACGAGGTGATTTTGAGAACAGGTTCAACATCTGACTCTGAAAAATTAGAGAGAGTTGAGGATGAAAATTCAACAAATTTGTCCATCCATATATCCTGCTGAAGTTTTTCTGACACATGTCTTGAAATTGACCTAAATCAGACTTGGCACTGTTAGCATCTAGAATGTCTGCAGGTTGAAACAAGGCCGCAGCATTTACAGAAAACACTGATTGATTATTTCCAGTCGATGTGGTTGATAACGGTACAAATGTCCCAGGAGTAGAGGCAGTTGAAGTTGAAGTAGAGGCAGTAAATTCAGAAGCTGAAGTTGAGGTAGTTGAAGCAGAGGCAGTTGAATGTGGAGTAGGTGTAGGGATGGAACTAACCAAACCTCTATCAATCAATTTTTTAATCAAAATTTCGGTCAATCTGTCTTCAGCCGTTGACATGGGACATGATCCAGATGTTGACGGCTCACCACTACCCTCATCTAATGGGCGCTTCGATCCACGTTTAGACATCACCCTACAAATAATTTCAGAAGGTAAGAACACAAATAATCATTGGCAATGAAACCTGATGTTGCCAAATGCATATTTTAACTGGACATATGTTAAATATTAATCACCTGACTGAAGCACAGTCCTTGGAATTTACTTACAGTATCATACCAGTACCAAGATATCACTTAATAAATAAAGAAGCTAACCAGGCACATAAGTACCACATATCTCCAAGATATGAATGATTAAAAACAGGCACCACTAAGTACCACATATCATCAGAGAATGACTGATAAAAAACAGGCACCCCAAGGTACCACATATCTCCCAAGAGACATGAAACAGACCTACCATGCGTAGATGGTAACGCATGCCCCTCACTAGAGCATGACGCAAACTCTTCATTAATTTATAATTTCCCACCATATTAGAAAGATGAATACCATCAGCAGCATAAATATTTACAAGGGGCCGATGGAGCCCAGCTCTATGCCTCCAAGATGTAATGTACCTCTCAGAAAAACAAAGAGCCTTTAACTCCATATTGGTAGCCAAAATCTTGGCATTATAGCCGTTATAAGGTTCACACTGCCTGGGCAAAAGTTGGCTTATTATAACTAACTTGGGATGCCAAACACACATCACATCTTTAGCGAAGTCAAAGAAATCCCGAGCTATAACCGACGGAAGTGATAAAATGTCGCATAAATCATTCGATCCTAGATGGAGCATAATTATATCCATTTCTGAAAATCTCGAGTTCGTGACGGACAGTCTTCCGTGCGGATCATTGCGGACTAACAGACCGCCATGTCCCCAGCAAGTTACTCGACACACACGCCGATGCAAATCCAAATTAACATGATTAAAATGCGATAAATAAACCGCTAACCGTTTTATATATGAAGAACCAAATATAAGAATGTTTAAAGGAGGTGATGAACAAACATCGGGAAGCAATACAGTCGACTTTTTAACGGAATAAAGAGGCACACGCTCATGTACAGAAAGAAAACCCGCCATGCTGTATCAACCAAACGAAAACGAGGCCAAGCACCAACCGCTTTTTTTACTAAAATTATGACTAACGCGTCGCTGACACGATCCGTTCAAACATGGAAATTAATCAGACAATAATATGCTACTTATCTTACAAGCAACAGAAGCCGGTCGGCAAGTAAACGGCTGGTAATCGTAGTTTAAAAACTGCAAAATTACAACAAGTGTTTAACAGCCTTGGCGGGTTTCTCGAAGAATGACCCGGATGTTGTTTTATTAATAGTATGCAGAAAATAACCACACACCACAGGATTGGTTGAAACACAAAACGTATTATTTACAATAATATTTATCTCTGTTAAAATAGTAATCAATACAATTGCAGAGCGATAAGTCAATATTTCACTTCAAACAATTATGAATTATATAGTTTATCAAAGAATTGAAGAGTAAAACATGATTATACAGGTGTATGTTAGTTTATTATTATCATTATTATTTAGTTTAGGTCAATAATTGAGATTGTGCGTGATTTTGTTGGTTGAAAAATACTTGAGGGGGAGTCATAATGAGAGATGACTTTTAATTAACAGTGGTCTTATATCTTCTTGACATGCATCCAATTTTACAAATATTCCTTCAATATATTTCCTCATTTCACCTGATCAACAGGGATGATTACATTGTAACAGTATGTGTAGTTAAACCCTTGGAAACTATGTATGGTTCTTACATGAAAGTAGTTCACAACCATTTTGAATCTTTCCTTAGATTCAATAAGTCAAATTTTTAGAAAGCCTATAATATTTCAACTCAACCTTCAATTAATATTTAAGGGTTAAGAAATGGTTTGATTTGAAGGCTTTATTGAATTATTAGGCCTTTTGGAAATTGTAGGTAGAGATTCAAAATGGCTGTGACTATGTTTGTGTGTGTTATTTTCATGCAGTTCCATATCAGTATTATACCACCGTAACTAATGGTGACAATTTAAATTGTTTCCATGTTGTGAAAAATAAAATCCTTATAAAGTTAACCAAAAAATTTAGTTCCATTATTTAGTACAAATATCAGTCAACTGAGCCATATGGTCTCCCCGCAGCTGAATATTAATGATGTTAAGTTATAGGACTTCAGTTTGTTTTTATCTGGTAAACTAGTCTGTAGGGTAGAGAACTATATTCCAGAAAGATGAAATGACATTCAACAAGATTGTCTAGTAATTGATGATTGATAATTGACCGATTTGACCTTTTCATGCAAAAGAAAATATTTATGCAATATTTATTACCTTTCTGTACTGCCTTAGACCTGCTGCTTAATTACCTTAAAGTTGGCCTGAAAATTCTAGCCCCATCTTTAAAATTAGCAAAAACTAAACATCTTAAGTGGCTCTCAAATCAAATAAGTGGTCATAAGTCCAGTCTAAATAGGTTTTGTGCTTCATCTAAGTTTTGAAATAGTCTTGTTCTTTAACTGGGGTGAGACCCCATGTGCTACAGACAGTGTTATTAATGAACTTATTCAATATGAACAGCGATGGAACGGAAATTAGACTTCCCCTCTTTGTGTTTTCAACCTTATTCTTTATATCACAGATTGTGAAATTAGGCTTTCTTTTGACACATTGCCTCCAAAGTTCATTAAAAAGATCTTGCAGGAAGAAGATTTTGATTCAGAATTTACTGTAAAGTCTTTTATGAATATTTTCTAAAGTTTAGTATTAATGTCATATATATTTATACCTTTAAATGTTTTGTCCCTTTTGATCTTTAAAATTACAAATATATGGGACTCTATCTTTAAAAAATTTTAGTTTTTAGTTTTAGTTATTTTTAGGTTCAATTGTTATCCAACCACTAGAGAAAAAACGCCCAATTAATATTGAAATCAGTACTTTATCGAGAATACAATCTAAATTCATTAGACCTCACAAGAGTTGTGTCTACTCAGCCACTTGTATCCTGTTCTCTCATTGGTCAGTTTGAACATTTTCTTGAAATCGGCATCAAATTACAACCAATTATTCTTAGCCTTTGTTCCGGTTTCCTTTCACTTTACTATCTTAATTGTTTTCAACTTTGTGTTTGGAGACCAAGAGTTTGACACTTGAGTACAACACGTTTTTATTATTGTTTTTAAATTCAGGTACTTGAACCATCATTAAAAAAAATGACTTGAGAGGAATTCTTGTGTATAGACTGATTGCACTCTTGAATTGGAAAAACTACCAGGGTCACATGAAGATGTTGTGTTAAACGATGAAGAAGTGTTGCCAGATTAATGAAGTTTTTAAGATGACCATCACAAGTTGACAAACTTTATCACAAAGTATCATAAGTGTTCTTGTAGATAAAGAATTCCCTGCCTGGTCAATGGCACAACATATTTTTCAACGTGTTTATTTTGATAAAACACTTAAAGGGATTGTAAAGAGGTTCTCTAAATTTTATGTGTATCGTGGAAGCTGATAGCATCTTATTTCCAATCAGATGTCTTTGGTTTCTGCAATTCTACTAAAACTAAGTGTTTGATGACGTCACTAATATGCTTTATCACATAAGGCCATTCAAGATTAGTGAAAGACTCTTAGTTTTGTGGTAGTGAAATTGCAGGAACCTTAGATGTCTGATTGAAAATTGGTATAGTGAAAATAATCAGCCTTTTACAATAGTGTAAATTGATGATATCAGTGTCCTCGATACACATATAAATTTAGAAAATCTTTTTACAATCCCTATAAGTCAAATTGTTTACTTGTCGAATCTTCAAGTGTCATTAGAAGTCTTGGCAATTCAGAATGAATTTTCTTACTAACTTAAAGTTTTTCAATATGACATAAACTTATATTATTGTTCTTGTAGCATGTAAATTTATACATTTGCCATAGGTTTTGGTTATGAAAAAGCTCTTGCTCTTGAATAAAAAGGCTCTTTTAGGATAGTTAGAGAGCTTTACGAAAGTTTCAATTTTAGCCTTGAGCTATGTTGATGAATTTGAAAGAGGTTTTTCCTTGCAGCAGATGGACAACCTTTGTTCTTCAATTTAAAACCTTTGACAAGCTCTTCAATTTTGATTCAGCCTTGTAATCAGCCTTTTACAACTTCTCTTTGTTCCAATTGTGTATAGCAGGTGGCGTTTGTCTTAAAGTGTAATTTCCAGGACCGTTTTATGGATATCTCAACCATTACCTTAGACCTTGTTTTACTTAGTGATCTTGGCGAGTGGCGGAGCCAAAGGCGGGGCAGAGGGGTTTACGCGCCCCCTCACAGCCCCGAAGTCATGTGTTTTCCGTCAAAAATCTCATAACTAGGTTAAAATTTCTGGTAACCACCGGTATTTCGCCTCCGATCGGACATAAACCTCTGCCACTGACCTTGGCCAGTGCTTATAAGAGACTATGTTTCAAGTTCATAACTTATGGCTTTTTCTTGAGGCAAAAAATTTTAAGTCAGTTTGTTTTTTTCTTTTGGTATATTTCAAACAGTAACCACTATTTAATGTATAAACAACCTGATATCATACTTACAATATTTTATATAAAAAATTTGTATCATGTTTGGCATGAGGCATTTGCCTTGGAGTAGATATGTCCCTGTGTTTTCATCCCAATTTAACACTAGCAACGTCGCGAATCTCCTCCCCAGTAATATAATACATATACTTCACCTTAATATGTCACTTCCTGTCAGGATAAAACTATTTCCTGTCCATCAAGATGACATTAAGTGGTAGAAATCTATTTTTACTGAAAACTTAACAGATACTTGACGATATTATGTGTAGCTCTTCAGTTGTAATCAAAACAACCTCTTCAAACATCTTCCCATAAAACTTACAAAAAACTTTGCTTGAGATATATCATTTATGTAAGGTTTTGATAACACTCAGAAACACTCTCTACCCATCAGAAATATCAAATAATTTGAAGAAAAGAAGCAAAATATGATCAAATAATAAGTTAAAAAATGTTTTCAAAAGAAGTTTTCTAACCTAGACAAGTCTAATGGGAATCCTGCTAAGACATTTCCCATCAGATGAACCCCTGCAGCCCCTACTTCAAATATTTCAATTTCCCATCAGACATCCATATTCCTGTAGTACATGGATAACTGAACCAGATACAAGTGGCTATTGCAAATTTGTTCTCAATGCCATCAGGTTTGAATGGTGTAAATAGAAGATGTGAGTATCTCCACTGAAACAATTCTAGAAAACATGGATTGAATCTTAGCAGTTCTGAATTTATTTTAGAACAAACTAATGCAATTAACAATTACATAGAAACAATTAACATAATATTTGTAGGATTGGGTAATAGGTAATTATAGTTATTTCTTGGTGTTGTTTACTAATAGGTTGGTTTATAGTAGAGACTTATTAATGTTTGGTTATGTGGGTGTTAGTAGTTAAGAAACAGGATCTGTTGGTAGGATGGTTTCTGATTAGAAAGGTTATACTGGTATGGACCCTTCATCAATATTAATCCACTCCCACCTCTTCATCAGTCCATCCTTCCAACAGAGAAGATTGTGAAAATTGACAGTATATTTTAATAAATAAATAACAAACTACATAATATATCACTAATAAACAAAATACTATTATTAATTTATCAGTGAGAATGGAATGCTGGACGGACAATTCACGACCTTATTAATATACATAGATTGTATACCAAGAAAACAATATTTGGAGATTCTCCTTGGAAGATGCTGAGAAGCTGACCAGTCACAATGCGACATAAGTATTCTAGAATGGTAGTCAAGCCCTGCTTCATAGGGCCACTCTAACAGTTCCTATACTGGAGCATTATGTCGTTAAGTCTTCCTGGCAATTTAGCCTTAAAGAAACAGGTTCACCATTCATTTGACCAATTGTAGTCTTAAGTCTCAGAAACAGGAATTTTTTAGCTAAGATTATCAGTAAGAATGTTCACAGCTCACTGAGAAATTTCAGTCTCCAAATCCATGTGTCTAGATTTATCTGCAGACTATTTACAAATATTCTACACACAAATCAAC